TAGATGAGAAATTTTGTGACGCTCACTGTTTATGCTAGCTACAGGGATTCAGTCAGGCTCCTATTCCCATCCTCCATTCTAGGGTCTGTCAACTGACCTGGACTTTCTGGTGCGAATTTCAGGATATTGTGGGAGTAATAACTGAGCTTGGGCTATGAAGATGGGCCTTCCTGATTTGCAGTCCTGGCTCTTCAGCCTCTTAGCTGTGCAATCCTAACACAGTTTCCTAACCTCTCTGCACCTCAGATTTCTTCATTTGTCAATCAAGAATAATAATAGTGCTTGCCTCTTAAGAAGTTTACCATGAAATGGAAGAAAAATGATGCATGCAAAGAACTTAGTCCAGTTATCTGGGCAACAGTAAGCTTTTGACATGTCACTTTTAATTAGTTATTATTTTTGAACTACATCTGTTCTTGGGGAAATGAGGCTGTCCCCACTGGGGCCTCAGTCTAGCTGAGAGACAAGCAAAACAAAGCAACTCAGGACTCGGTGAGGGGGAGGCAGACAGTCTGGGTCAGAGGAGGCCTGAGTTAGACAGTCTGGACAATAATTAGCATCATTTATGAGCATCGGGAGTTAGGAAAGTTTTTTGCCTGGGGCAGCACTGACGAGGGCCGGTGAGCAGACTGGATAGCACAGGGCACTGTCAATTGTGGCTTTGTCACTGAAATGGAGGACTTTATGAGGGGAAACCTGAAATGATAAATTGCTTCCAGGTTTCCTTCCAGAGCTGGTCTAGCCCCATCCAGTAGTCCTTCTTGGCTTTCCTCCCAAACCTGTGGAATGATTTAGACCACGAGATGGAAAAAGTCCAGAGCAGTGTAAGAAACTGGATGGAGAAGAGGCGACAGACAAAGGCTGGCTGGGCATCAGCAGGGTGCTGTGGCCTTGGCGTCTGGTTAGAAAGGGCAGAGAGCGCCAAGCCTGAGCAGTCCCGGGGCCGCAGCTGCCCAAAGGTTTGGTTGTGTGCGGGATAGACTGGAGGTGGCTAATGGTGAGGTCTCTCCCTGGGGTTGTCCTAGGGTGTGACAACCGCCATGGGGCTCACCTTAGACTTTTCGATGACTTTGTGTTTGATTATCTTGTTTTGATTTAGAAATTCTTAGATGCTATCTCTTGTATCTGCTCTCAAACTTCTCTACCTGGTGCATGAATCTTGCTTAAGAAAAGCCCCCATGGGACCCGGATGCCTCTTTCCCTGATCTGGATGTTAATCCCCAAGATCAGTGGGTTTGGCACCTTTTTGAAAATAAAGTTCTTTCTTCAGATAAAATCTCCCATTGCTAACGTATTTGTTGAACACTTAGTATGTGCCAGTTACCATGCTGCACTTCTTGAGTGTTCTCATACCATCCTCAACACGAGGCTATGAGGTCCTAGATCATGTAGCTTATTTTATAAAGTAAATGAAAAAAATAAGGCACAGAAAGGTGAAATCCCTTCTTGAGGTCACATAGTAAGTGGCAGAGCAAGAAGGAAGTCATAGTGCTCCAGCTCCTTCAGCCAGGCCTGAATAACCACTATGCTACACTGTCTTCAGAATCAAAGTGAGGGTTGGGGTGGAGAGGCGGGCCTAAATCCTGTCCTTCTCAGCTGTCACTCCAGGTCCCTGAGGAACCCCCCAGGAACCCCTAGAGCTGCTTCAACCTAGAGACCTCTGCTGCAAAGTGTAAACAAGATCCCGATGCCAAGGGGGTATGTGGTATGGCCACCATGGCGATCAGGGGAGGGGGATGTGGCTATGTGGAGGGTCAGGATGGAGTTCCAGAAAGTGGAAGTGAGGTCAGGATACTCCGTCTGATACTTGTCAGATGCTTGGCTACCGGAGCTTGATTAGAGAAATAAAATGTCACATGCTTGTGAAATATATGAGCTACACCTGCACCCAACTTTGATAAGGTTTTCCAGGATTTGTAATTCTTTATTTTAGGAGAACTGAAGGGAGGGCCAGGGAGAGCTAATGAAATTCTAGAGCATTTTGCAATCTCTGACTGTCCACTCGCCAGCATGCAGTGCAGCCACACAGAAGTCCTGCTTTAAAGAGCCGGCCAGATCTTTTGCACTTAACACATTGAGGGCACACTCAGCTGCCTGCTGCTAAAGCCATTGAAAAGGCAGTAA